AAGCTACGCTAACAGCATTAAAGCTATGCTAACAGTGTTAAATCTATGCTAACAGTGTTAAAGCTATGCTAACAGTGTTAAAGCTACGATAACAGTGTTAAAGCTATGCTAACAGTGTTAAAGCTATGCTAACAGTGTTAAATCTATGCTAACAGTGTTAAAGCTATGCTAACAGTGTTAAAGCTATGCTAACAGTGTGGTCTGTGAACCAGGTGCTGTGTGTAATGGAAGTCATAGAGGCTAAAGCAGAAAAGGTTTTGGAGTTTTTCACCTTCGTGACTCTGAGAGCCCACCGGACCTTCAGGTTCCACCTTTAATTCTTCCACCTGGAGAACACAAGCAGAGAGGATGAGGCCCAGTATCAGATCCAGATCAGTCAGAACCACAGACGGACCTGGTTCTAAACAGATTCTCAAACTGTGCACCTACAACAGGCTGGTCTTCCTCAGGTGGGGGCGTGTCCTCCTTGTGTGTAGGCGTGTCTTCTTCAGGCAAAGACACGCTCTCATCTGGAAGGTCACTGATTGGCTGGTCATTGGTCACAGGAAGTGATGTCATGTTCAGGAACATCTGCATTCCTTCATAATCTGAGTAGAACTGAGTTGTTTCCACGACCACATTAGCCTCGGCTGCACCTGAAGCAGGTGAGTCTGTTGTTTCCAACAGGACCTGAACGCACCGGCTGTTCTGGCTTGTGATTGGCTGTTCGATGACAGGAATTTGATCGCTGCTGGACTGATCTGAACTGACGACAGTGACAAAGACAGCCGGCTGAGGGTCAGGTGAAGGTCTGACTGCAGCGTCTGAAAAAACAGACAGACAGTGAACGCACCGCAGGACAGATATACAGCATACACAGTGAACACACCATAGGACAGATATATACAGACAGTGAACACACCACAGGACAAATATACAGACAGTGAACGCACCACAGCAGGCAGACAGTACGCACCACAGCAGACAGACAATGAACGCACCACAGCAGACAGTGAACGCACCACAGCAGACAGACAGACAGTGAACGCACCACAACAGACAGTGAACGCATCGCAGCAGACAGACAGTGAACGCACCACAGCAGACAGACAGTGAACGCACCACAGCAGACAGACAGACAGACAGTGAACGCACCACAGCAGGCAGGCAGACAGTGAACGCACCACAGCAGGCAGACAGTGAACGCACCACAGCAGGCAGACAGACAGTGAACGCACCACAGCAGACAGATAGTGAACGCACCACAGCAGACAGTGAACGCACCACAGCAGACAGACAGACAGTGAACGCACCACAGCAGACAGATAGTGAACGCACCACAGCAGACAGTGAACGCACCACAGCAGACAGACAGACAGTGAACGCACCACAACAGACAGTGAACGCATCGCAGCAGACAGACAGTGAACGCACCACAGCAGACAGACAGTGAACGCACCACAGCAGACAGTGAACGCACCACAGCAGACAGTGAACGCACCACAGCAGACAGACAGACAGTGAACGCACCACAAAAGACAGTGAACGCATCGCAGCAGACAGACAGTGAACGCACCACAGCAGGCAGACAGTGAACGCACCACAGCAGGCAGACAGTGAACACACCACAGCAGACAGTCAGTGAACGCACCACAGCAGACAGACAGACAGACAGTGAACGCACCGCAGCAGACAGACAGTGAACGCACCACAGCAGCCAGATAGTGAACGCACCACAGCAGACAGTGAACGCACCACAGCAGACAGACAGACAGTGAACGCACCACAAAAGACAGTGAACGCATCGCAGCAGACAGACAGTGAACGCACCACAGCAGGCAGACAGTGAACGCACCACAGCAGGCAGACAGTGAACACACCACAGCAGACAGTCAGTGAACGCACCACAGCAGACAGAAAGACAGACAGTGAACGCACCGCAGCAGACAGACAGTGAACACATCGCAGCAGACAGACAGTGAACGCACCACAGCAGACAGATAGTGAACGCACCACAGCAGACAGTGAACGTACCACAGCAGACAGACAGTGAACTCACCACAGCAGACAGATAGTGAATGCACCACAGCAGACAGACAGTGAACGCACCACAGCAGACAGACAGACAGTGAACGCACCACAGCTGACAGACTTCATTACTCACTTGAGGTTTTTTTCTTGGGACCTGTGTGGTTCCTCGGACCTGCACTGGTTTTCTGGTTCTGTTCTGGTCCTGGTTCCCGCTCCAGGAGCCTGACTCTGTCCTGCAGAGCCTCATTTTCTGTCAGGACGTTCAGGTAGAGCTCTCTGAAGATGCTGAGGATTTTACGAGCAGCCTCTCTGGACATCAGGGCCAGAACCGGGGTCAGCTGGGTCTGCAGGAAAGAACAGGATCCAGGTTCAGTAAAACCACCTGAGACCCAGGTCTGGACCGTGGTCTTAGCTGGACCTTTAACTGAAACAGAAGGACTTTTGAGGAACTCTAACTGGAAGTTTAAAAGTTTCATTAAAAGATTCGGTTCTGAAAACGAGTCTGAACCCGGTGATGAAGATGATGATGAGGAGTTTCTGTTCCTCTCAGGACCATGGTCAGGTTTTCTGGACCCGGTCCACAGGGACCTCTCACCCGGCTGTCGCCGCCGCCGTCGGCCCTCTCTGGACCCGGTGGTTCCTTTGGACCCGGTGGTTCCGGACGCTGCAGGACGAACAGGACGGACTCCAGCAGAACCTCCAGGATCAGGTCCGTCTGAGAACAAAACGTTTCTTCCGCCGCTGAAAGCTTCATGACCCGCTGCATGACAGCCCGAACCGGAGCCCAGAACCTGAAAACAAACAAACTGTTCCGGAAGTACGGTCCGTACGTCAGCTCAGGTGAGCATGCGCAGACAGAGCGCCTGAAAAAG